CTGAAGGCACTTACTTGCAAAACTGAACACCAATTAGCCAACCACAAAAAGCCCTCAGTTTAGCCATTTCAAGAACTTTGCAAGCATGGATGGAGGGAGAGCAAGAGGAAGAGGAGGTCAAAGAGGCCATGCACGGACCCATATTTCTGATGATATAAGAGCAACTTTGGTGGACCATGTCATCAACCACGGCCTGACTATGAGGGAAGCTGGGCAGAGAGTCCACCCACATCTAAGCCGCTTCACAGTGGCATCTGTAATAAGAAAATTCCGACTAGAAAACAGGTCTGTCTTCATCTCACTGCCTTCTACTCTACTCAGATGGTTTTCATAGTACTGTTCTACAGTTACCATATCAAGTGTACAGGGTATTGCAGGGTGCTAATGCTCCTTTTGCAGCCAAAGTGGTAGTTTCTGTGAAACATACCATGATTACTTATATTGAAGTACAGTGTTGTACAGTGGATGATACAGTATATACAGTGAAGTACTGTAAGAAAAATAAGCAAACCAATGACAATATGTGGTTGTATTTCTCTAGAATGACTCGAAGACCTTCTGGGGGAGGACGCCAACGCCTGTTCACACAACGGCAGGAACTTGCCGTTGTGGACCTAGTGAGGGCAGACAATGCTATCCGTCTCCACCAGCTACGAAAGCAAATACTTGCAGACAGGCAAGTGTTCAACAACATAAACCATGTGAGCATCACCACCATCAGACGCATCTTGGGAAAACACAGCATCACCATGAAGCAACTCTACAGAGTACCATTTGAGAGGAACAGTGACAGGGTCAAAGGACTTCGAGCTGAATATGTACCATATCAGTACCACATGAATACATTCTGAGAGCTACACAGGTACCCGTGTGATGGGGTGAGGGTTCTGTATGTGTAGCACTGTAGTACAGTAATATGTTCTCTCTTTTTTTTTTTTTTTTTTTTTTTTTTTTTTTTACAGAGAATCTTGGCCATGGATGGAGCTGCACAGCCTCATGAATTCATTTTCATTGATGAAGCTGGATTCGACCTGTGCAAAACAAGACGACGGGGTCGTAATGTAATTGGCCAAAGGGCAATTGTGCACGTTCCAGGGCAGCGCGGGGGAAATATCACATTGTGTGCCGCCATAAGCCTTCGACGGCTTCTGCATCATCATGCAAAACTAGGTCCATACAATAGCCAACATATACTCACATTTCTAGATCTCCATGATATAGTTGTACAGAATAGACCAGATCAGCCCAGGTTTGTGGTGATATGGGATAATGTCAGTTTCCATCGGGCTGCTCTGGTCCAGGCCTGGTTCTCCAACCACAGTCAACTTGAAGTGGTATGCTTGCCCCCTTACTCACCATTTTTAAACCCTATAGAGGAATTTTTTTCGGCTTGGAGATGGCGTGTATATGACCGCCAACTACATGCCTGCATGCCTCTTCTGCAGGCAATGGAACAGGCCTGCGGCGACATTCAGGTGACAGCAATCCATGGATGGTTTTGACATGGAAGAGGATATTTTCCCCGGTGCCTAGCGGAGAAGACATTGCTTGCGATGTTGATGAGGTCCTGTGGCCAGACCCCAACAGACGGCGGGATCCATGAGCCCACGTATGCACAATTGTCATGATTTTTGTTTACAGTATAGTGTTTTTTCTATTACTGTATTATGGGTTGTTTTTTTTTTTTGTTTTTTTTTTGCTTTATCTGAATTCATGGTACTGCAATGTACAATATTGAGTAGGCCTATTTGCTTTTTTGGTTGTTTGCAAATGTGTCTCCTGAAAATATGCCTTCTGAATGAACAATGGAAATCAAAGACTGCAGTGCTTTATATAAAGTAGACTAGTGTGTTCCCCTGCTCTGTAGGTGTTTGCATATGATGCAAGTATGTGTCATTTTGTCAACAGAGTTACATTTTGACAAAGGAATGTTAGGTTTTGATAGCAGAGTTTAGGTTTTGAGAGTAGAGTTTCAATTTGGTGCAGATGTGAATGGTATACTTCCCAGTGTTGTGTCATGTTTACTTGTGTTTAGGGTTTTGGCACAATGAGCAAAGTTTTGCAAAATGTGTTCAGGCAACGGGCAAAAACTGTAAAAACAAGCGCGTTCATGCTCACAGTTGTACACACCGGTGCTCACACACACAAAATACACCCTTTTTGGCTCCTACCTTAAAGCACACTGTGCGCTGTCGATCTTACGTGCTGCACAATAATGTTTAACACTTAGTATTTACTGTTATATTCCCATAGATCATCATGATGTTGTTTATCCCTTGTTAAATGCTTGTTTTCTTTTTTCTTTCTCAACAGGTGATCCAGGTGATTGATATATGTATTTTTGTCTGCTTATTTTGTTGGTTTTTGTTTTTTGCCCTTTATCCCCGTCCCTCTTCTCCGCTGTTTTTTTTCCCCCTCTTTCTTTCTTTCTCCCTTTTCTTTTCCTCATTCAAGTCTGTCCCGTATCTAGCAAGTGAAAATAAAAAATAAAATAAACAACAAAGGGTGAATCAAATAGACTATTACGGCAAGGCTGGGATGGTCCATTTGGTAAAGTAAATCCGTTGGGCATCTTTCTACGCCTTTAGACAATAATTCTGATGGCAAAAGAGCCAAACGGGACAGGCAAAAGAAATAAATAAATAAATATACTCACAGGAACACTATCAGCCAAGGGGTGGGCAATATACCCCCACCAACCAGAAAATCTTCTACCTGGCCCACTGCGCTGGGAATATGAGTTTATATAATCCTGGATAGAGAAAAATATAGCAACAGTGCAAGTTTGAGATGAGCGAGAGAATGAGACTTACACAAGGAGGATGCCAAAGAGTGACACAAAGAGTGAAATGTTACAATTAACCCCATAGTCTGGGTTAGTTGTAACATATCCTGGGGTAAAATGTAACACGATGAAATAAGGGTGCTAACAAAACATTAACATGTAATCTTTGTTTATTCAACACATGGATGCACTTACATCCATTTATGTAGCTGTGTGTGTGTGACAGAATGCAGAAATCTAGCTTTTGAACATATTCCAACCCCCCAAAAAAGTCAAATTATGGAATTTTCTGCAACTGAATATTTCATTAATTTTGGTTGGTCTTTCTTGAGTTTGGCCTCATTGGCTCAGTGGGCATTATAACCTACAACTCTTGCACCAATTTTGAACATAACAATGAAGCTGAAAAAATGTAGTTGTTCACCAGCATCGTAATTCCATTACTTTTTATCATGGCTTACCTTGGTGTGGTTTGCAAAGTGCTTCAGGAAGATGAGGAAATCTTTCTCACACCCATCCTGACTTATTTCCACTACCAGTATTTCCTACTGGTCCATCTCTGACACAGTGGTCTGCATAATGTATGTGTGGGAACACAAACAGTGGAGGAATTGTGTTGCCAATGGCATTAACCGCATATACAAAAGTGACCAGTGGACCTCTCTCTGCTGATGTCATTGCCCCAACTTGTTTACAGTTTTTTCTGAATGCTTAAACCCTAACTGTGATTCCTGTAGCACAATCTCTAAAACTATTAAGACTTATAGCAAAACCACTCACTGAGTTTGCAAAACTAAAAGCACAAAAACTGCTTTGCACTCAGTTTGCAATTTTGTACCACACACTTTGCAAAACTGTAGGCACAATTCACTGCACAACACTCAATTACCAAATTTCCAACACACTCCTAGCAAAAGTATACACATGTATGGCTATCATTAACACTAATTTGCCAACTGTCTGGCACACTTTCACATGTGAAGACTGTTTTAGATAATTAGTCCACTTTGCAATCAGCCTAAGCACTATAATACAGGTAAGCTGTGTGTGCGGAGTACAATGGAGGGAGCAGAAAGAGTGAGAAGTAGAGGAGGCCGAGGAAGAGGACGTGGAGGTGAAGAAGTAGGATGAAGAGGACGACAAGGACAAGGAGGAGCAAGAGGAAGACGAGGAGGGGGGGAGAGGAAGGGTAGGAAGAGTAAGAAATAGAATTGCTGATGACATCAGAGCTACAATAGTGGACCATGTAATCAACCGTGGAATGACCCTGAGGGTAGCTGGCCAACGGGTCCAGCCTAACTCGAGCCGCTACACTGTAGCAAGTACCATAAGGACATCTTGAAATGAGAATCAGTTAGTACAGTCACTTCGCACAAAGATTTGTAGCACTGCCATATGCCAATGAGAAACACACCAATACCATTGATGTAAAAATACTGAAATTGTTACTTTACAGAATTGCTAGATGACCAGATGCTGGGGGCAGAGGAAGCATGTTCACTGCAGACCAAGTAACCCATATAGTCACTATGGCGATTGCAAATAATCCTATACTTGGAAATAAACACTTGTGTTTGTTTTGATGTGTTTGAATAAACACCAGTACTTGAAGTTTGGATCCCTCTATGCTTATGGATCTATGACAGAAGTATGAGCTCAAACTGACATAGCCTACCTTGTGCACAGAGAAAGCAAAAGCCAGATGTGTTTTGTATTCATACCATCAGTGTGCAGTTGGCGCATTGTGTGCTTAGTAGATGATGGCTTGTGTGTACTGTTTGATACGGAAACACCATTTTTACGAAGGTGTGAAGAGTTAATCTAGCTGTGTTTGCTTTTACAAGAGAACTACAATGTTTTGATTATTGGGTGACAGGTTTTCTTATTTGTGTGAAGAGTTTTGCAAAATTAGCCAAAAGTTACAAAAAAATGCGCTTAAGCAATCAGAAAAAACTGTAACAGGCAAGCCACACCTATAACTCGTGTTTTTTTTTTTTCTCAGTAACATTATCCATGCTCGACGGCAGTGTCTTCCCAGGCCTGGGGCAGGACTATCTGACAACCGAGGTCAATATGTTCTTGCTTCCTGTGCAGGAAAATGATGGGGAGGACCAAAGCAGGTTACAAAAAGATTTATTTTCATAAGGTAAACTCAAGTGACCTCTCATGTGTTGTGTGAAAAATAAATGAATATTTGTATGTTGTTTATGGTCAGGAACGTACCCACTGTTCTCTCTGCTCCCCGGCTATAGAGGACACCCGACCTTCTCCACCATGGTTTCAAAACTCTGCAGCCAAATACTGGCCATGCCCCGCTGTCAGCTGTCACACACTATTCTCACTGAGAAAAACTGGTAAACATCATATCAGTACTATTTATACGCAAACGATCCGTGGGAATAAAGCAAGACAACCAAGTATAAATGAGGAAATACATCCTGCACTCAGGTTGAGAATCAATTTTACGTTTTAAACTGTTTTGCTCAACAAAGCCATCATAAATATAATTATTTTTGAACTCCCATAGAAACAGTTTCTATTCCCTGTGGAAGAAATGCCAAATTTCTATTAGAGATGAGGGGGTCTCTCTCTGTTCCCCTTTACTTTCAGTGACTACAACCTGCTGGGTTTTTTTACAACAGAAAATGAGCGCTGGTTGTTTGCTGTGAAATAGTTTTCTGAGGCATGGTGAAACCTGCTGCATGTACCTGCAAGCACAAAACTTTCAGAGTGGTGTAAAATATTTCTTGCTGTGGGATATCAGGGTTTTTTTTCTCAACATGCTTAAAACAATATCAACTGAAAATTAAATACTACAGTGAAAAGAAACATATATTTCCAATCCATATAGGCATGGGAAGTAAAAGTGTTAATAAGTAAGGTTGTTGCAGAAATACATACTATTTGGATTTTTTTTTCTTTTTATTATGTCACCATAATTTTGTGAAATCTTGAGACATTGTTGGGATTTCGTTTAAGTTTATCCCTCTGTTTCCTGTCTTAACTTTCTTTGTTTTCACAGGTTTCACTATGCAGCTTGTATCTGGGATGGTGTGAAAAAGTCCTCTGCCCTCTCTGAATACAGTCGTCTGCTCTGCTGACACGTGTTTAACTGCTCTTATGTACAGTTTTATTTCACTGATCAGATCACACAAAGATGAAAGAAGTGCAGCTGAATGGGATGTTTGAAAAAAAACATCAAAGGGGCATAAAATAAATATAATTATTCAGACTTTGAGTCCTGCTTGTTCTATAGTGTCCTGGGACTCTCCTCAGGAATTCTGATAGTTACAGATAAAGTTACAGCCTGTGCAGAGGTGGTGAGCAGGAAAAGAAAGTGTCTTCTCTCAGCAGATCTCTAATAAAAATGCGAGAATAGTTTTTGAATTCAAGTCATTCTTGACTGTGTTTCAGTTTTGATGCACTGATAGTTGAAAATACAGATTCCTGTCTTTTTTATTACCTTTTTTGAAAAGATAAGGGGAAACGTGCAAGTTAATAATATACCACTGAAAACTGGTGTGTCTGGTTTTGATTGATATATGATGTAAGATAGAATGGATGTGGCAATAACGGTTACATACATTTTGTGTGGTCGTCGGTGACTTTCATTTCTCATGAATCACAGTCAGTTTTGTTTTTCATTCAGTGCAAGAAATTAAGCTGTCGTCAAGAACTACCACACAGAGTGATTACATGGTTAAAGCATACTCTGCTGACATTTGAAACAGTCACTGGTCATCAAAGACAAAAAAAACAAAACAAACATTTTACGTCTGTTCTTGAAGAAAATAATATGCAGCCTAAAATATTTCAGCAATAGAATTAAACAGCTTCACAGAATATTCCATTAAATATATGATACAAAAATCAATAAAGCAATATAATAACACTAAAATTTCAAACAAATACACAAAATTAAAACTGAAACAACATGTTTTCAAACTAGTTTTAATAGAATCCCATCAGGACTAAAAGAAAAATGCAGCATAGATGTTATTCTAATTTAACAGTGGAGATTTCTAACTAATACCAATTTAATTATTTAGACTCAAAAACACTGAGTTATAGGTTCTTTGATGTCTTTGCCCAGTTGGTTATTTAACTTTGCAAACAAAAGAAGAAAAGCTACATGGAACACAGAGGTCATATTATAACCTTTAAGAAGCAAAATACGGATGTGTTATAATGTTCACATGAAGAATTCAGCAGATTGCAATTCTGTAGTAGATTAGTGATGTTGGTACAGGATATTTGTACAACAGTTTCGTATCTGGATTTTAAGTCATTAAAAGCTAGTCAATCATTCAAGGTAACCAAACCATATTCAAAGTCTGAAAAGTTTTATTGTTGGACTAGCCTTCTCTTTGAAATAAAGACATGTTTGAACTATGCTTCCTTAGCTTTAATGAGATATCAGAAGCATCTCTAAAAAGAAATCTAAAAATCTCATTGAGGTCAATATGTTCTTGCTTCCTGTGCAGGAAAATGATGGGGAGGATAATTTTTCAAATTCAAATTCAAATTTTTATTTGTCACATACACAGTCATACACAGTACGATATGCACTGAAATACTTACACAACTGCTCGTGACCTGAAGAAGAAAAAAAAAGGCTATGAATAAGATAGGAAATAAATATGAAAAATTAAAAAGGGTAAATTTAACAAGGAAGGAATAAAATAAAATATAAAAATTAAAGTTAAAAATGAAATAACTGTACAACAACAAATTAGAATGAAGGGTAAATTTAACTGGGAAAGAATAAGATAAAATATATAAATTAAAGTTGAAAATAAAATAACTGTACAACAAAAAAGTCCTCGGCCCTCTCTGAATACAGTCGTCTGCTCGTCACAAAGACGAAAGAAGTGCAGCTGAATGGGATGTTTGAAAAAAACATCACTGGGGCATAAAATAAATATAATTATTCAGACTTTGAGTCCTGCTTGTTCTATAGTGTCCTGGGACTCTCCTCAGGAATTCTGATAGTTACAGATAAAGTTACAGCCTGTGCGGAGGTGGTGAGCGGGAAAAGAAAGTGTCTTCTCTCAGCACATGTCTAATAAAAATGCGAGAATAGTTTTTGAATTCAAGTCATTCTTGACTGTGTTTCAGTTTTGATGCACTGATAGTTGAAAATACAGATTCCTGTCTTTTTTATTACCTTTTTTGAAAAGATAAGGGGAAACGTGCAAGTTAATAATATACCACTGAAAACTGGTGTGTCTGGTTTTGATTGATATATGATGTAAGATAGAATGGATGTGGCAATAACGGTTACATACATTTTGTGTGGTCGTCGGTGACTTTCATTTCTCATGAATCACAGTCAGTTTTGTTTTTCATTCAGTTCATTCAAGAAACAAACATTTTACGTCTGTTCTTGAAGAAAATGATTTGCAGCCTAAAATATTTCAGCAATAGAATTAAACAGCTTCACAGAATATTCCATTAAATATATGATACAAAATCAATAAAGCAATATAATAACACTAAAATTTCAAACAAATACACAAAATTAAAACTGAAACAACATGTTTTCAAACTAGTTTTAATAGAATCCCATCAGGACTAAAAGAAAAATGCAGCATAGATGTTATTCTAATTTAACAGTGGAGATTTCTAACTAATACCAATTTAATTATTTAGACTCAAAAACACTGAGTTATAGGTTCTTTGATGTCTTTGCCCAGTTGGTTATTTAACTTTGCAAACAAAAGAAGAAAAGCTACATGGAACACAGAGGTCATATTATAACCTTTAAGAAGCAAAATACGGATGTGTTATAATGTTCACATGAAGAATTCAGCAGATTGCAATTCTGTAGTAGATTAGTGATGTTGGTACAGGATATTTGTACAACAGTTTCGTATCTGGATTTTAAGTCATTAAAAGCTAGTCAATCATTCAAGGTAACCAAACCATATTCAAAGTCTGAAAAGTTTTATTGTTGGACTAGCCTTCTCTTTGAAATAAAGACATGTTTGAACTATGCTTCCTTAGCTTTAATGAGATATCAGAAGCATCTCTAAAAAGAAATCTAAAAATCTCATTGAGGTCAATATGTTCTTGCTTCCTGTGCAGGAAAATGATGGGGAGGATAATTTTTCAAATTCAAATTCAAATTTTTATTTGTCACATACACAGTCATACACAGTACGATATGCACTGAAATACTTACACAACTGCTCGTGACCTGAAGAAGAAAAAAAAAGGCTATGAATAAGATAGGAAATAAATATGAAAAATTAAAAAGGGTAAATTTAACAAGGAAGGAATAAAATAAAATATAAAAATTAAAGTTAAAAATGAAATAACTGTACAACAAATACACAATACACAGTATAGAAATATATAAGAATGTATGAAGAAATATAAATATATATATATACAATAACAGCAGCAAACAGTGCAAATATGCTTAAAGTGATTTAATGATGATACGGGCGACACGGGCGGTTGCCCGGGGCGGCATCGTGGTGGGGGAGCCATCACGCGCATGTTGACCCGATGTCATGCCAGCCCATATTGGGAATGGTACAGGCACCGATCGGTTTTCTATCGCCCATTTGCTGGGAGTAAGGGCGCCCTCCGTTTGCGAGGTGCGCCTGCTGCTTGCAGCACAGGGAGGAGAGGGCGGGGCGGCGGGGGATTATCTGGCTGGAGCAGCATCTAATAACCAACTCGCGAAATAAAGCAAAATAAAAACAAACTAACAAACACGAAAACACCAGACATTATGATACAGACTTATAATTTGCGCTGATGTTTTTTCGAAATTCTATATGCGAAAAGTGAGCGCGAGAGCCCTCGGTGCCCCTGCGCGCTGCTGAAGTCAAAGTAAACTTTATTGTCATCTCCGCTGCATACAGTCCAGTATATAGAGAGACGAGACGACGAGGCTCCAGTTACAGCAGTGAAAGTAAACAAACAATATATATAAGAAGAGTAAGAAAATAAATATACACTTTAGGACCAGGGGTAAAGGGATCAATAACAATTTAAAATTCATAATTTACAGTTTGATGATTTAAAGTCTCACACACAACCCGTGGAAAGGGGAGGAGAGTCCTGCTGCTTCCAAGTAGACCACATTTCATTCATAATGTTGTAAATCCAAGCCTATTATGTATTCATGATTTGAATCCTGGGTTGTGCGAAATCCTCAAAATAAATAGACAAAGTGAACTAAGGTGTAGGTTTATTAGGTTATGTTGTGGTGATCCCTGAGTTGGGGGATGGGTGTTCATACTGTAGTGTAAAATTAAAACCAATGGAAGATGGACAAGAAAAGTTCAAAGCCATCATTTCTTCAGTTTAGAATAACGAAAAAAGAAGAGGAGGAGAAACGAGCAAAAGATACAGGCAAGCAGATATGTCATTAGATAATGGCAGGTCATCCTGAAACAATCAGAATCAGAATACTTTATTAATCCCTAAGGAAATGATGTGGGTTACAGTTGCTCCAAAAAGAAATGGTAAAAATAGTAACAGTAACAGAATAAACTCCAAACATTACATTATGTTACCGATTTTAATATTAATTAGTCAGTGTCAATTGTTGAGTTGTTCTGTTCTCATTGTATGATGAATTATGATGGCTGTTTGGTGGCTGTTTGCATACTATGCGCACTCTCTCTCACTTCATATGTGTGTGTGTTTCTCTGGTGAAATTCAGTATGGTTCCGACAACAGTTTTATGTTAATGTATAATCCTTAATATGTTTTATGTGTGTGTGTTGGGGGGGGGGGGGGGGGGGGGGGGGGCGCCAGAGGGAGTGTTCGCCCAGGGCGCCAAACAGGCTAGGACCGCCACTGTTGGTACAGGATATTTGTACAACAGTTTCGTATCTGGATTTTAAGTCCAAGCTAGTCAATCATTCAAGGTAACCAAACCATATTCAAAGTCTGAAAAGTTTTATTGTTGGACTAGCCTTCTCTTTGAAATAAAGACATGTTTGAACTATGCTTCCTTATTACCAGCTTTAATGAGATATCAGAAGCATCTCTAAAAAGAAATCTAAAAATCTCATTGAGGTCAATATGTTCTTGCTTCCTGTGCAGGAAAATGATGGGGAGGATAATTTTTCAAATTCAAATTCAAATTTTTATTTGTCACATACACAGTCATACACAGTACGATATGCAGTGAAATACTTACACAACTGCTCGTGACCTGAAGAAGAAGAAAAAAAAGGCTATGAATAAGATAGGAAATAAATATGAAAAATTAAAAAGGGTAAATTTAACAAGGAAGGAATAAAATAAAATATAAAAATTAAAGTTAAAAATGAAATAACTGTACAACAACAAATTAGAATGAAGGGTAAATTTAACTGGGAAAGAATAAGATAAAATATATAAATTAAAGTTGAAAATAAAATAACTGTACAACAAAAAAGTCCTCGGCCCTCTCTGAATACAGTCGTCTGCTCGTCACAAAGACGAAAGAAGTGCAGCTGAATGGGATGTTTGAAAAAAACATCAAAGGGGCATAAAATAAATATAATTATTCAGACTTTGAGTCCTGCTTGTTCTATAGTGTCCTGGGACTCTCCTCAGGAATTCTGATAGTTACAGATAAAGTTACAGCCTGTGCAGAGGTGGTGAGCAGGAAAAGAAAGTGTCTTCTCTCAGCACATGTCTAATAAAAATGCGAGAATAGTTTTTGAATTCAAGTCATTCTTGACTGTGTTTCAGTTTTGATGCACTGATAGTTGAAAATACAGATTCCTGTCTTTTTTATTACCTTTTTTGAAAAGATAAGGGGAAACGTGCAAGTTAATAATATACCACTGAAAACTGGTGTGTCTGGTTTTGATTGATATATGATGTAAGATAGAATGGATGTGGCAATAACGGTTACATACCTTTTGTGTGGTCGTCGGTGACTTTCATTTCTCATGAATCACAGTCAGTTTTGTTTTTCATTCAGTTCATTCAAGAAACAAACATTTTACGTCTGTTCTCAAAGAAAATGATTTGCAGCCTAAAAATATTTCAGCAGATAGAGAATTAAGCAATTTAAAAACTTTACCATTCACTTAACTTGAATTATGTGGAAAAATAATTCAAATTCTTATTCAAAGGACTGTTTTTTGATAGTCAGGTTCCTTCACTGTCAAAGGCAGAATTAAGGAGTGGTCAGAGATAGGAGACCACTCCCCTCGATGAGAATTGCTTATAACCTGAACACAAACTAAAGTAGAATTCACTTATGTCTGACCGCTCCACAATGCAGAACCTTGTGCTGATCCTTGGGATCGTGCTGCTCCCTAGAGGCAAGTTTTTCTTCAGTTATCTGTTCTTTTGAAGAAAGTTCTGTAATATTCAATGAAATATTTTCTTTTTTAATGCTTCTACAACATGTTTTAGTACAACCCAGTAAACGTTTGTCTACGTTCTACAAATTATTATACTAATTACTGTACTGTTTGCCCTTTATTTTTTAAACGGTTCATTTTAGTGAATGTTTTAGAATATGTCCATGCATTGGAAGCAAGAAAAATTTCATTTATCTTTAACTTTGTTTTATCAGCCTGTGCCTTGAAATGTTACGAATGCATACCGGACCTCTCTGGAAGCTGCGCTCAGACAACAAAAGAATGTCCTTCCAACACTCAGTGTGGATCAGTAAGAGTGACTTCATATGCAGGTTTGATTTTGTATAGTTCTTATTTTATTCTTCTTTTAAACTGGTTCAGTTTTCAATGGTTCGTCTTTTTGTTGCAGGTGGTTCAAAACTGGTTGATATTAAAGCGAAAAGTTGTGCTGCGGCTGAGGAGTGTGTTCAGGCCTCAATCAACTTTGGAGTTTCTCAAACTCTACTGACCAGCAAGTGTTGCACCTCTGATCTTTGCAACTCTCAAGATGCCCCTGGTAATTTCTATCACGCTTCTTGGTATTTTGAAATGTAATTTCCTGTCCTTGAAAGTAAAAAAAAAAAAGAAAAATTTATTTATTTTTATTAAATATGTTGAGAAAGTTTTGAAGTGGGTCAAAACCTTTCTTTCAATCGTCGTATTCGCTTGAACAGATGAGGTCAAAATTATCAATCTGTAAAAATTTCCTGATTAAAAAATCTCAAACAATAAACATATTAATAACATAAATGGTTTTTCTTTTGTTTTCTGTTGTTTTTTGTTTGTTTGTTTTATTGCTGATGTTTTTGGCACACAGTTAAAATGAGGGGAACAAATATTACAAATATTTCTGTATTCAACAGAGGGCAGCATCTCATCTCCAAATGGGAAAAAGTGCTTCCAATGTGATGGAAACGATTGCACAAAAACTCTAAATTGCAATGGAGATGAGGACCACTGCATCTCAACAAGAGGTAACAGGCCGACAGCATTCAATGTCTGCATGTTTGTTCTTTTCTGCTCAGTGATTCAGTGATTCCCTCTTTTCATTTTCTCAGTGACTTCAGGAGGGCAAAAGGTGACTGTAAAGGGCTGCGCCTCCAAGGTGGTTTGCTCAAGCACACAATCTGCACAGATTGCAGGAATCATAGGAACAGAAATCAGCTGCTGCCAGGGTGACCTCTGCAACAGTGCCATCAGTACAACTGCTGGCCTTCTGCTCTTTGTGACACCGCTGATCTCTCTGGTCTTGTTCTCTTAGCTGATGGAAACAACAACATCACAGCCGAGCTTTTCTTATGACTGTCACAATGTTGCCTCTCATTTCACCAGAGCTTAAAAAATAACTACATTTTTGTAACTAAACATAATTTTTGGTTTGTGGAGAAAATAAATGAATACATTTCTTAAAGTCCTGTACATTTCTCTATTTTCTTTAAGTCAATATTATCGGCTATCAAATTAATAAGACATATACAAAAAATATGGTTGAAATAATCGACACTTGGCTGACTTTTATCATAGATATTAGCCAGTGATTTATTTTTCTAGAACGTAGATCATTCTGTCCCAATATTTAACTGCATTTGTTACTCACTGCTTTAAAGGTTAATGTTGGAAATGGGTAGAATTATATTTTATATTTTCTCCATCTAATGGACAAATCTTTTTATAGTATACAGTTTAAACATAGACTTTATTAACCCCACACTGGGGAAATTCACATGTTACAGCATCACATGTGTCAGGAAGAAAAGTGAATAAAAGATATAATATAAAAAAAATAAGAAAATATAGCACATCAAGAAAAAAGCCACAATAAACCTATAAAGACTAATTTGTACCATGTACAAATGTACATGCTTGTAAAATATACATGTGTATTTTAGAAGGTATCTATTATGTGTATGTGTGTATTGTTACGTGGTCAGTCACGTTTGTTTTGGTCATAATCCGGATGAGTTGGCTGTATTTTTCCATGTTCTCACCCCTGGGCGGAGCCTCATCACTACACCTGTTTGTTCACCTGTCAGTGATCCAGGGCTAACAACAGGCAGTATTTAAGGCCAGCTTCCTTATCTGTTCCACACCAGTTTGTCAGCTATCCTAGGTTGTTTGTTTGTGTTGTGTTGTGTTGTGTGTGGGTCCAGATCCATGCTTTGGCCTCCGGGCCCCATTGTTACAGTTTCTCCTAGAACAGAACCAGGCTGGGTTTTCACTTCGGGCTTAAACTGGACAACTGCACATTAAATTTTTGTGAATCACCACACAAACTGATTGCATGGTTAGAGCATACTCTGCTGACATTTTGAACAGTGTTCGGTCATCTAAGAAAATCATTTTCAAGTCTGTTTATAAAAATACAATTATTTGAAGTCCACAAATGCTTCAGTGGTGGGTCAACTATCTACTAGTGTTTGTCAACTATCTGACATCAAAATAAATGAAACATTTTAGTCAAGCAAGAAATGTTCCAGTGTCTTAGCTGACAAGAACAGCACCTGGTTTGGTTTTCTTCTGCTGCTGTAGCCTTTCTGCTCAACATCTGCTGTTAAATGCCTCAGAAAGAGCTAAACATATGATAGATATTAGATATTAGTCTCTTAACATGCTTATGCCTTAATACAACTTTCAGCTTTCATTGGTGCTATCAAATCAGATAATCAACATACAATTATAATTAAAGTAATAATTTTGATAAATATGTGTCCAAACCTTTGATTATAAAAACTGTAACACTAAATCTACAGTTCACTGGCTGATTGGGTGTAATAGCAATATATTAAAAATGTATTAGATTGAACACCTCAGTATGTCTGAAGTATTGCAGTTATAATGTGTGGTTTAGTAAGACAGGAAAATGTTTGTGAGAGTGTACACATGAATGTTGCTGTGGTATTGTTGGCTAAGGTTAAACGTAAATACAGTAAAATCGTAATTCACGTCGACAGTAATGACACCCGGTTACGTCAATCGGAGGTCACTAAAATCAATATTGAATCGGTGTGCAACTTTGCCAAAACAATGTCGGACTCTGTAGTTTTCTCTGGTCCCCTCCCCAATCAGACCAGGAGTAACATGTTTAGCCGCATGTTCTCCTTAAATTGCTGGCTGTCTGAGTGGTGTCCAAGAAACGATGTGGGCTTCATAGATAATTGGCAAACCTTCTGGAGGAAACCTGGTCTTGTTAGGAGAGACGGCATCCATCCCACTTTGGATGGAGCAGCTCTCATTTCTAATAATAATAATAATGTGTTAATAGACCTCTCTGCATTGAATCATATCTGTTATTAATCCCTGTCTCTCTTCCACAGCATGTCTTTATCCTGTATTTCTTTTCTCATCCCAACCAGTCGCAGCAGATGTCCCCCCTTCCTGAGCCTGGTTCTGCTGGAGGTTTCTTCCTGTTAAAAGGAAGTTTTTCCTTTCCACTGTCGCCAAAGTGTCGCTCATACGGGGTCATATGATTGTTGAGTTTTTCTCTGTATCTATTATTGTATGACCTACTGTACAATATAAAGCCCCTTGAGGTGACTGCTGTTGTGATTTGGCCGTATATAAATAAAATTGAATTGAATGTTAACTGCAGTAAAAAGGTTAAAGTACCACATGTGCTGTCAGTGCAGTGTCTGATCTCAGACCTGCACAGCTTCCGTTTTAAACACTTGATGTACTCAGCTGCATGAAGAGCACATGAGATTTTCTCTGACACAATTAAATAAAACATGATGAAGGTCAAAGGTCATCACTTGTATGCTGAACAAAAAATTGGTAATCTGGAAATCTTTCACAGTTTTTTGCCAATAGTGTGTTATTTACCATAAAGTAATTCAGAGTCATTCACACCAGAGTAAGAGAGGATAATATATTTTTAAATATACTTTCTACAGAACTAAATATAATATCTTTATGTAAACGTCCAGAGCCTCTGTGGATTTGCCAAGTATTTATAACATAACGCAAAGCAACAGCCTCCATCACAGTGTTCATGAAATGCTGGGTTTATCAATCTTGTGGGGCGGGCATATTGTTGAGTTCAGAAGATTTCCCTGTAAGGGACCTGGTGGTGAACATTAGTCTTCCGTCCTTGCGATGAACTTCAGTCTTCCTGATGTTTCTGAAATGGTGCATCTCTCAGTAGGTTAACAGAACATGTGACACCTTTCTGTGATAATAGAAAGGGAACAAGTTTCTCCAAACCTCTGGAACGAGGAAACCCAGCATGGTCTCCCTCACCAGTTTTCGCCCAGGATGGATGAAGCTGTTGATGATAATGTGGATAATCAAAAGAACAAATGACAGGTCTATGAAACAAGCTGCTGGTTTTATTTAAAGTTTCCATGTTAGCAGACCGTAGAGCAGGCTCCAGAGCCGCATGCGACTGTTTTGTCCTTATACTGCGGCTTCACATGGTTTGGGAAAATAAATTAGAAGTATTTAGCTGACGTGTATTTTATTTGTGTTTAGTTCTTTTTTTTTTAACTTGTAGTTCTAAATTGGAAGATTGTTGTGATATTGAAATAAAAATAATAAAATTATATTTTATTATTTTTCATCGCTCAAAATAAGCGTCACACTCGCAGAAGCCGGTATACCCGCCAAAACGCTGTGCATTTATCAAGACTTTCAACCCCAGATAGACCAATGGATCTTCAGATCCACATTATGTCAGCAGCTGTTCTCCACCGTGAACTATGTTAAAAACAAACACCGCTAACGCCTCACAGATGACAGCTTACAGTCCTGCATAAAGATGAAAGTGACTTCAGCCCCGATTTGAGAGGCGGTGCCCAGAGGTTCAGGAGCAGAAGTTCCATTGTAAACATACCATGGCAGACCCGCTGCTTTTCAGCATCCCGTTATTGACCACTTGCTGTACGCATACAGTCGACGGTAGCTTTTCAGCTCACAGCCCGACAACACAACAGCAGAGAGCGTGATTGCAGGTGCCGCTCAGGCGCGTCCGACTCCCATGCAGCGGCACTGCAGACCACGCCCCGCCACACACATTAACCAGGTAAAATACATATTTAGGCAGAATTTTGCAAATATCTATTTTTCATTTTTTGGCAGCATAGTGCTCCCCCTCCCCCAATTTTTAAAAGTCAGATCAAGGCTCCAAAAGCCCAAAGGCGATAAAACAGTTTTTGTTTGCTACATGGATCATTTTAGTTCAGCTGGGTGTCTTTCCTTTTGTTATATTTCTTTAAGAGTTCAAAATGTGTTAATTACATAAATAAAATGTAATTTTCTCTGTAGCACTTCATGGATTTCATAAGCAACACATTTGCTCTGTGGATTCTTTTGAAAACCAGTTAAAAAACTTTTCTGTTCACACAAGCCTTTTGTTGATCTACGTATTTGATATTCTTTACATCATTTACACTTGATCTTGACTGCACCTCCAAGAACTCGGCTGTTAAACTCCTAACATTTGCAGATGACACCACTGTCATTGGCCTCATTCAGGATGGTGATGAGTCTGCATACCAGCAGGAAGTTGAGCGGCTGGCACTCTGGTACAGTCAGCACAATCTGGAGCTGAACAATCTTAAAACTGTAGAGATGACAGTGGACTTCAGGAGACATCCCTCAACTCTGCTCCCCCCTTACGACATCAGACAGCCCTGTGTTGACTGTGAAGATCTTGAAGTTCCTGGGTACCACTATCTTGCAGGACCTGAAGTGGGAGACCAACATCAGTCTTCCACAAGAGTTGCTGATCCAGTTCTACATTGTGTCTGTCCTGTGCTCCTCCATCACAGTCTGATATGGTACAGCCACTAAACAGGGCAGGAGCAGACTGCAGCGGACTGTACGGGCAACAGAAAGGATCATTGGCGCCCCCTTGCCCTCCATCCAGGATCTGTACCTCTCAAGAACCAGGAAACGGGCAGGGAAAATCATCACAGACCCCTCACACCCTGGACACAAACTTTTCTACCTGCTGCCCTCTGGCAGACGGTACAGAAGTGTGTGTATATATATACTTATATATATATATATATATATTACGGGTGCAACGATACACAAAATTCACGGTTCATTTCGATACTTTGGTGTCACGGTTCAATATTTTTTCGATACAAAAAAAAAATGTTCATGCCTTTTTAATTTGTCATTTATTAAATTTTCACGGCACATTCCGCACCACATCTCTGTGCGTTCATCATTTGTTTGAAGCCAGCTCACCTCCTGCAACTACTTTTCCGAGAATACGTGCTTCTTTTGTGGTTCGGACTCCTGACATTTCTTTGGAGGTGGAAGAAAACCAAAGTAATTGCTTAAAGGAGCTTGCTTCTTCGACATCTTTAAGAGTTCTAAACAAATGTCTGTCCTCCTCCTGAAAATCTTATGTACGCAAACACACGTTGCAGTTTTTTATTTTGACAGCGAATGCGCACCAGCGGA